TTTTGTGAAGGTAATAAGACAAAATTTTTTTTTTTCTGATTAGTACTTACCGAGATACAGCGGCGGGAAGTTGACCCAAAATGACCGGGTGGCGGCAACATCAGTGACTTCCGCAAAATCCCATTTTTTTATTTTACGTTTTTTATACTTTTTTCTTTTCTTTTCTAATTTTTTTCTTTTTTCTAATAACATTTGTGGCCTGTGAGACCAGTATAATGTATATTGTATAAGTGTACACTCATTGTATTCCACGCAATAACTGCACTAATTTATCATTATATTGCTTACAAAACTTGTTTACAAGTTTATTGTAAACAAAATGATGAAAATATTAGTGCGATTATGTTGAATACAATGGTACCATATAGTACCATATGGTACAATGGTGCCATAGGGTGCAATTGTACCATATGGTACAATGACACCATTTGGTAAATGGTACCATATGATACAATGGTACAATATGGCACAATGGCACATAATACAATGGTACCATATGATACAGTGGTACCATATGGTACAATGGCACCATTTGGTAAATGGTACCATATGATACAATGGTACCATATGGTGCAATGGTACCTTATGGTACCATATGGTGTAATGGTACCATATGATGCAATGGTACCATATGGTACATTGTACCATACAGTACAGTGATACCATATGGTTCATTGTACCATATGGTACTGTTGTATTCAACACAAGCACACTAATATTTTCATTTTATTTTGTTTACAATAGTTGTTTACAACAAAAATATGCAAAAAATGTTGTATATTAGTAATGTTCTATTATATATTTACAAGTGTACAGGAACTTGACGTGTTCCTTGAGGTGGATGACAAAGCACTTTGTCTCGGAAACTGCCGAGTCAGTAGCTTGCGTGGCCACTCACTCAGTCTTGGCTGGTGTCTCATGCCACCAACACCTATTGACCATATGGTACACGGTATCATATGTTACAGGGTACCATATGGTACATTGTACTATATGGTATAGGGTACCATGCAGTACAGGATAACATATGGTGCAGGGTACCCTGTACAGGGTACCATATGGTACAGGGTACCATATGGTACAGGGTACCATATGGCACAGGGTGCCATATGGCACAGGGTACCATATGGCACAGGGTACCATATGGTACAGGGTACCATTCTCAGTAGTAGTAACCAGTTACCAGTAACCAGTGTACCAGTAGATGACTCACTACCAACCGTCTCTGCCTGAGTCACTGTCTGTATTCATATTGTGCTGACCACAGCAGTATTCAAAGACCCCCCTCACATATGGGTACTGTGGGCGGCCAGTCAGTGTTACGAGAGTGAGCAAGAGAGGCAGGCCGGCTGTTTGGCTCTCCCATACTTACCGTTATAATTATACGTACTTCCAGCCTACGTGAGTATTACTTTACCCTATCCACGTGTTCGAACCCCACATGATACCATATGGTACAGGGTACCATACAGTACAGGACACCATATGTTACAGATACAGGGATAACTATGGAAATAAGTCACCCTGCCTTTTTTGGGTTATCCTAGGATTTTATACGTATGCTTCTATGTATGATAATCTATGTAATTGTATTTCTGTACACCTGAATAAACTTAGTCAAGTGCATGTGGCATCATAAGTAAGTTTATTTAGTTATACACAAATAAAGTTACATAGAATATCATACTTAGCAGCATATGTTTGGAGAACCTAGGATAACCCAAAAAAGTCAGACAGACTTATTTCCATTAGGGTCCCTGTACCCTGTACCATATGGTATAATGTACCATATGGTACAATGTACTATATGGTACCATTGTACCATATGATACCATTGTACCATATACCATTGTATGACATGGCACCATTGTACCATATGGTACCATTGTACCATATGGCACAATGGTACCATATGGCTCAAAACCATAGAACTCGTCTTCAGCTCCACTTCCATCAGTCTTAGAACTGTAAGTTGTGAAGAGGAGAGTTGGAATTCGCCCGGAGAGTGAGTGGGGAGTGAGAGCTTCCTTGCCGCCAGGCACTATGAACAAAGCTACTTTGCCGGCGTTCCCACAATGCCATGCGGGCGTCCAGATTTCTTCTATGGTGTGCACACTGACCACCCAGACCCATTCTCTTAGATGTAGGCCTACCAGCCTTCTTGTGCTAAATTTGACGGCGCTAGAATTTTGGCGTAGATCTACTGTTTAGACCATGAACGTAAAGCCGTAGATCTACGGGACGGACCCTGAAAGGGTTAATATTCAGTTGAACAAAAAGTTACCTCATCCTCTATTTTCTAAGATTAAGCTGTTGACTTAGAAAACTTGAAGTCTCTACACACGAGAACTTCTGTATAATGAAAATTCCACAATTTCTGGTGACTTAAGCGAATAAAGCTCTAGACCAAATGCTTCACCGTTTAGGTTAAAAGGAGTAAGCCGTGGAGACCTTCTCTATATCGAGAGAGGTGCTGTACTGCCTGCTCTACTCCACTCACCTCTGACGTAAGCTCGCATCAGGCGAGTAGTAACCAGAGGTGAGGTCATAAATGGTTGTTATCATTGGTAAATGATGCATCAGTGCAGAATACATATACAGCAGGGCCCCACTCATACGGCAGGTTAGGTTCCAGGCTACCGCCGTAAAGCGGAAACCGCCGTAAAGTGGAACACCCTTTTTTCCACTTATAAATGCATACAAACACTAGATAACAAGTTTACACTAACATATATTAAGTTAGCAATAGAACCAGGCATCAAAAAACAATAAAAAAGTACAATACACACATAGTGCACTCATTACTTACCTTAAAATATTTATAGTCTTAATCTAGGGTGAGACAAGTAGTATTTATTGTAAGAAATCAAGTGTGGTATGTATGGTAATCAGCCAGGCTACCTTATCAGGTCACCCCACCCACACATACTATTCTATGATATTTAAGCATCCCAGAGCGATAAAATGTATATACAGTTCACTCATTACTTACCTTAAAATATAGGGTGAGATGAGTAGTATTTATTGTAAAAAATCAAGTGTGGTATGTATGGTAGTCAGCCGGGCTACCATACCAGGCCAACCCACCCACACATATATTCTATGATATTTAAGCATCCCAGAGCGATAAAATGTATATACAGTTCACTCATTACTTACCTTAAAATATTTGTAGTCTTAATGTAGGGTCAGGAGTAAGTAAATGAGATAAAACGAATAAATGAGAGAGAGAAAGAATGAGTACATGAGAGGGGACAGGTGCAGAGTTATGTAAACAAACCAGGCGAACGTAAGTTTTGTAAACAAACGAAGTGTACACGTCTGGTTTGTGTACAAGTTACATTGATACGGTAGAATTAATAAAGAAGAACACTCCCATTCTCATGTAACATCATTTTGAGAAGAAATGAAGCTCTGAGTGAAGGCAATGGAAATAAGTCACACTGACTTTTTTGGGTTATCCTAGGTTCTCTACACATATGTTGTTATGTATGATAATCTATGTAACTGTATTTGTGTATACCTGAATAAACTTACTTACATACATACGAAAGGAATAATTTTCTACAGTTACCCCCTGTAACACATTTTCTCTTATGTTAGATTAGGGAAAATGTTATTCTTGCTGTCACTTGTACAAGTTATCTGGCCCCCACATCTTATATTTATGTTTATTTATTCTATTGTGGGTGTATTTATCATCTTTTATGTTATGTATCGTGTTTATTATATAATTTTGAAAAAAAATATCATGGATGGATTAATGAAAATGTGTATATTAACGTAATATACGACATTTAATGAGACTCGGTGAGTATTGTTATTATTATTATTATCATTTCTAATATGGCGTCACTTGTGCAAGTCGTCTGCTACCACATCTCACATTTATGTTTATTTATTCTACTGTGGGGTGTATTTATCTTATTTATATGTTATGCATCATGTTTATTATATAATTTTGAAAAAAATATCATAGATGGATTAATGAAAATGTGTATATTAACGTAATATACGACATTTAAATGACTCGATGATTATTATTATCATTACTAATATGACGTCTGGAGACATGAGACACTTAACGATTTTAATGTGTACCTGCATGCCAGCACAGTATGTAAGTATATTTAGGTACAGGTATACATAAGTATCATTATCAGAGTATATATAAAATATGAAATAACTTTTAAAAACATTTGAAATTTTGGAGTTTCCAGACAAAATGGAGAGACTTAGTGCTTACTGAGCTCACGGAGAATGTAAACAAACAAGGTGGGGCGCGGTGACCGTATTAGAAAGTCAGGTGGGGGAGCCGTATAGCGAGTTTTGGTCATAATTTGAAATGACTGTATTAGCGGAATGCCGTAAAGTGAAACGCCGTAAAGCGGGGCCCTCCTGTATATACATAAAATGAAAAATAAGATGAAAATGAATATTTAATATTATAAAGCTGATTTTTATCGATTTAGCTAATAACGACGATAATCGCAATGTAATATTAAAAGGATGAACAAAATTGTAAGACATATTTAGAGAAATCGCATGTCAGCGTAACAGTGAGCTTTGTTGTAGTACAGCTCATGCAGGATCAGCTCATGGATCTCCTGCTCATTATGCTGTTATGCTCTTAATACATGAACTGACCTTCTTGTACTTTGTCATATTCCATGAGCTTGTTTACTGTTTCTGCTGTATCCACTACTGTCAAGTTTATTAGCTGGACACTGAAATTCCTTATGCTAATACAGTACAACTACTCCCTTATATATTAAACATGTGCTGTGTTATACTAAATGACTCATTTTGATTACAACTGCCCAAAAATGCTGCAAAAGAAGTACAGTATGTCTAATGGCATGTTTAATTGTTGTGATCTGTTGTGCATTTACTCTTTTTCCATTAAAATCTAAGTTTCCTCTGCAGTTGCTGAGGGAGCAGCAGTGTGTAGTATTTTATTATAATATTCCATACATAACCATTCATTGTTTTCTATGCAGCATGGAGAAAGTGCTATCCACCTCTCATGTGGTTTGGGACAGTTAGAGGCATTGAGATTCCTAGTGAAGAAAGGTGGTAGTCTTGATGCTACTGATGCCCAAGGAGATACACCACTACACTGGGCTGCTCGCCAAGGACATGCTCATGTCATTGCATACCTCATCGAACAAGGAGCACAAATTAATACCCAAAATAAGGTTTGTTCTTCAGAGTATTGTGGGTTATTGTCACAGTGTGCTGTGCATGATACAACTAGCTGCAGCTGTGGGGGTGTGCAGTGCTATCTTAGAACAACTGCCATGGTATATCATAACGGGACAGAAAAATTAGTTTCTCATTATGATCCATGATAATATTATTGAGTGACCATAATATTTATGATATTTACCATCTTTAGTGGGTGTGAAGTGCTCACCTAGCACACCCAGAATATATGCCCCTGATTGTATGCTCTTATGGTGATTTTTTTTTTTTTTCAACAAGTCGGCTGTCTCCCACCAAGGCTGGGTGACCCAAAAAAGAAAGAAAATCCCCAAAAAGAAAATACTTTCATCATCATTCAACAATTTCACCTCACACATAATCACTGTTTTTGCAGAGGTGCTCAGAATATAAGTTTAAAAGCATGTATGTATAAAGATACACAACATATCCCTCCAAACTGCCAATATCCCAAACCCCTCCTTTAAAGTGCAGGCATTGTACTTCCCATTTCCAGGACTCAAGTCCGGCTGTATAAAAATAACTGGCTTCCCCGAATCCCTTCACTAAATATTACCCTGTTCACACTCCAACAGATTGTCAGGTCCCAAATACCATTTGTCTCCATTCACACCTATCTAACATACTCACGCACGCTTGCTGGAAGTCAAAGCCCCTCGCCCACAAAACCTCCTTTACCTCCTCCCTCCAACCTTTTCGAGGACGACCCCTACCCCGCCTTCCTTCCCCTACAGATTTATATGCTCTCCATGTCATTCTACTTTGATCCATTCTCTCTAAATGACCAAACCATCTCAACAAGCCCTCTTCAGCCCTCTGACTAATACTTTTATTAACTCCACACCTTCTCCTAATTTCCACACTCCAAATTTTCTGCATAATATTCACACCACACATTGCCCTTAGACAGGACATCTCCACTGCCTCTAACCACCTCCTCACTGCAGCATTTACAACCTAAGCTTCACACCCATATAAGAGTGTTGGTACTACTATACTTTCACACATTCCCTTCTTTGCCTCCATAGATAACGTTTTTTGTTTCCACATATACCTCAACGCACCACTCGCCTTTTTTCCTTCAACTATTTTATGGTTAACCTCATCCTTCATAAACCCATCCGCTGACACGTCAACTCCCAAATATCTGAAAACATTCACTTCTTCCATACTCCTCCTCCCCAGTTTGATATCCAATTTTTCTTTATCTAATTCATTTGATACCCTTATCACCTTACTCTTTTCTATGTTCACTTTCAACTTTCTACCTTTACACACACTCCCAAACTCATCCACTAACCTTTGCAATTTTTGTTTAGAATCTCCCATAAGCACAGTATCATCAGCAAAAAGTAACTGTGTCAATTCCCATTTTGTATTCGATTCCCCATAATTTATTCCCACCCCTCTCCCGAACACCCTAGCATTTACCTATTTTACAACCCCAACCATAATTATATTAAACAACCATGGTGACATTACACATCCCTGTGTAAGGCCTACTTTTGCGGGTAAGTAGTCTCCCTCTCTTCTACACACCCTAACCTAAGCCTCACTATCCTCATAAAAACTCTTTACAGCATTTAGTAACTTACCACCTATTCCATATACTCGTAGCATCTGCCACATTGCTCCTCTATCCACTCTATCATGTGCCTTTTGAAAATCCATAAATGCAATAAAAACTTCCCTACCTTTATGTAAATACTGTTCTAAAATATGCTTCAATGTAAACACTTGATCTACACATCCCCTACCCACTCTAAATCCTCCTTGCTCATCCGCAATTCTACATTCTGTTTTACCTCTAATTGTTTCAATAATAACCCTACCGTACACTTTTGATGGTCTTTCTTCCTTTCAATGCACCAGCCATATCCCACTAAAGTGGGGTGGCCCAAAAGTAAAAACAAAAGTTTCACCTTTTAAATTTAGTAATATATACAGGAGAATGGGTTACTAGCCCTTTGCTCCTGGCAGTTTCATTGCCTCTTACGACACGCATGGCTTACGGAGGAAGAATTCTGTTCCACTTCTCCATGGAGAACTTTTCCTGGTATACTCAGTAAACTTATTCCTCTATAATTTTTACAATCTCTTTTATCCCCCTTCTCTTTATAGAAAGGGACTATACATGCTCTCTGGCAATCCCTAGGTACCTTCCCCTCTTTCATACATTTATTAAACAAAAATACCAACCACTTGAACACTATATTCCCCCCAACTTTTAACATTTCTGCCATGATCTCATCAGTTCCAACTGCTTTACCCCTTTTCATTCTACGTAATGTCTCAGGCACCTCCCCCACACTCACATCCTGCTCTTCTTCAATCCTACAAGATCGTTTACCTCCCTGGCCAGTGCATGAAATTACCGCCTCCCTTTCTTTGTCGACATTTAGAAGTTCCTCAAAATATTCTCACCATCTACCCAATACCTCCATCTCCCCATCTGCTAATTCCCCTACTCTGTTTTTGACATCCATTCATTCCCTAGGCTTTCTTAACTTGTTTAACTCGCTCCAAAATTTTTTCTTATTTTCATTAAAATTTCTTGATAGTGCCACTCCCACTCTATCATCTGCTCTCCTTTTGCACTCTCTTCACCTTTCTTTTACTCTCCATATACTCTACTCTTCATATAAAACTGTTTTGTAAAAACATCTCATTAGCTACCTTTTTCTCTTTTATCACACCCTTTACTTCATCATTCCACCAATCACTCCTCTTTCCTCCTGCACCCACCCTCCTATAACCACAAACTTCTACCCCACATTCCAATACTGCATTTTTAAAACTCATCCAACCCTCTTCAACCCCCCCACTACTCATACTTGCACCAGCCCACCTTTCTGCCAATAGTCGCTTATATCTCACCCGAGCTTCCTCCTCCTTTAGTTTATACACTTTCACCTCCCTCTTGTTGTTGTTGTCGTTTTCTGCTTATCCCATCTACCTGTTACTCTAACTGTAGTTACAACTAAATAATGATCTGATATATCAGTTGCCCCACTATTAACGTGTACATCCTGGAGCCTACCCATCAACCTTTTATCCACCAATACATAATCTAATGAACTACTTTCATTATATGCTATGTCCTACATTGTATATTTATTTATCCTCTTTTTTGTAAAATATGTATTGCTTATTACACATACCTCAATTAACCCTTAAACTGTCCAAATGTAGATCTACGTTTTTTCAACATTTGAAAGTATGTAAAAAAGTAGATCTTCTTTTCTTTTTTTACATTTGAAATAGTGTAAAAAAAACTTTGTTCTACGTTTTTTTTTTTTTTTTTTTTGTTATATTTGAAAATATGTAAAAAAAACATAGATCTACTTTTGGAGCACTACGCATGTGAACATAGATCTGCTTGGACAGTTTAAGGGTTAAAGGCTCCCCATTATCATTTACCCCTGGCACCCCAAATTTAGCTACTACTCCCTCCACAACATTTTTACCCACTTTAGCATTGAAATCCCCAACCACAAATACTCTCACACTTGGTTCAAAACTCCCCATGCATTCACTCAACATTTCCCAAAAATCTCTCTCTCTCCTCTACACTTCTGTCTTCTCCAGGTGCATATGCGGTTACTGTAACCCACTTTTCACATCCAATCTTTATTTTACTCCACATAATCTTTAATTAATACAGTTATATTCCCTCTTTTCCTGCCATAGCTTATCCTTCAACATTATTGCTACTCCTTCTTTAGCTCTAACTCTATTTGAAACTCCTGACCTAATCCCATTTATTCCTCTCCACTGAAACTCTCCCATCCCCTTCAGCTTTGTTTCACTTAAAGCCAGGACATCCAGTTTCTTCTCATTCATAACATCCACAATCATCTCTTTCTTATCATCCGCACAACATCCACGCACATTCACACATCCCATTTTGACAATTTTCTTCTTATTCTTTTTAGTAATTATTACAGGAAAAGGAGTTACTAGCCCATTTTAGGTATTGTAGTAAATTCACATAAATATTAACAGTAAAGGAGAGAGAGTTATAGATGCTTAACTGCATCTATAACTTTTTTCCGAAATTACAAGCTGTGAAAACCGAGAACTGTACATAGGTTTTTGTGAAAAATATAGATTTGTAGGCAAACTTTTAACATAATACTAACTGGTACTTTAACCTACAGAGTAAATAATGCCAATTTACAATAGTCTGTGCTAGGGCAAGAGATAGATATACAGTATTGTGAAACCTTTTGTATTTTATAAATGTTTTTCTTATACTGTACCAGTGTATATTTGTAATCTTTGGAGATATGGCATAAAACAGACGCAACTCATACAGAATAATCCACAATATTTTCTGTGAGTATGAGTTGGAAAGTACAGTGCCTGCACTCTGAAGGAGGGGTGAAAATATGCTGCAGTTTTTTTGCTGTACAGTAGTATCTACATGTCTCTGGGAAGATAGTGATGGAGTGAGTGATGATGAAAATGTTTCTTCTTTTTTGGATCACCCTGCCTTGGTGGCAAATAGCCAAAGTGTTAAAAAAAAAAAAAAAAAGAGCAAGGTAACACTTGTCAAGGGATTCGGGAAAACTGGTTAGCCAGACTTCTGGAAGTGAGAAGTACAGTGCCTGCATTCTAAAGGAGAGGTGATTGTGTTGCAGTTCAGAGTGGCATTTGAATAGTGATGTCTGTGCAGTGTTGGCAAGACAGCTGTTGAGTGAATTATTTTTTTTTTTTTGGGGGGGGGGTCACCCTACCTTGGTGGGAGAGCCTTTGTGTTAAAAAAAAATCTGTCAGATTATGCATCCTGTCTCAGCACAGTAATAACCAGGAAAAAAAAAAACTTACATTGTATTGCATTTCTCCACTTCCTAGAACAATAATGAATTGTGTAAGTTAATGATATTTCTTTGGTAGTAGGTTGGTAGACAGCAACCACCCAGGGAGGTACTACCGTCCTGCCAAGTGAGTGTAAAACGAAAGCCTGTAATTGTTTTACATGGTAGGATTGC